ATATATTGCTGGTGGGAATGGTGGGAATGTAAAACTTTACAACTGCTTTGGAAAACAGTTTGGTAGTTTCTTACAAAGTTGAAAATACCCGACCATAATGGCCCAGAAATATAAATGTTGAGAATGATGAAAATGATCCTAAGACTAACAAAATGCCTTGTATTTCCAATTCTGGCAATATAGTGGGCTACATACTGTGAAAAGCCCCCCAAGAAGCACAACTACGTGTGTTGGATAGAATATAAAACTATAAGTGTATGATGAGCATGTTGTCAAGAATGTAAGGAACTCTCAGGGAACTAAAAGTCAGCGATAGAAAAGTAACTGGTTCATTGAAGCATACTTTCATCTTGATGGCATCTTTCAAACATAAATTTAAGCTTTGATTTTACAGATTTGCATGATCTATGAGATAGGAGGTAAAGTGCAGGACTTTCCCAAACTGAGGAAACTCATAGGTGATCCTGCATAAGGTTATATATATATATAAGGATCCTGAAAGGTTACATTCTAAGTGTAAGTCAAATAAATATTCCCTGTCTGCTCTCAGCCTCCTTGGCACTGGATGGAGAAGAAAAAAACTTTCTTCTGAGAATTCATAACCTCAAGACAGTTTCAGTGAGTTTGCAACCCAGATTCATAAAACCTGGGTGCTCAAAAACCTCAAGTTGAAAATTTAGATTAAAATAGGTCTTGGCTAATAGCAGCCTGTGCACTTCAAAGAATAAAATAAAAAGAAAATTCTTTATATATATATATATATATATATATATATACACGTATATATATATGTTCTAGAATACCGGAAGAAGAACAGAGGCAATATCAGAGAGTTAATGGCTGAGAATTTCCAGGCATGATGAAAGATACTAACCTGCAAGTACAGAAATTGTAATGATCTCAAACAAGATACACAAGAAGTAGTCTGTATTTAGGTTATTACTGTAAACAACAGAACACCAAAGCCAAAGAATAAATCTTAAAAGCAGTCATAACAAACAGATTACCCAGAGAGAGAAAAACAATTAGATTGATACCTGACTTTTCAACAGCAAGAATCAACGCCAGAAAGACTACAATAACATCTTCAATGTGCTGAGAGAAACTAGTTTTCAACATAGAACTGTATCCTAGGGAAAATATCTTTCAAGATTGAGAGCCATGTTAAGACATATGCAGAAAAACAAAAGTTTGGAGAGTTGGTCCCTAAAAACTCTAAGTAACGACATGTGAAAAATGTTTTCCAAAATAAAGAAAAGTAAGCCCACACAGAACTCGTGACATACAGGAAGGGAAGATGAGAAGATGAGTGGTAATTGTTTATGGGCTTAAAAAAGGAGACAGAAACAAAATACAGGACAACGGTATATAAATTGGATAAACAAGTCTTTGATGACGAATTTGCTTCCTATTTCACTGAGAAAAAGAAGATAATTGCCCACTTGCTATAGCTATCTATTTACTGCACACACACCCAATACTATTTTTCCCCCGTTGACCCTAAAGTTAAACTACTCATGTTCCTTTCTTCTTCTTTTTAAAAAAATATTTTAATGTTTATTTATTTTTGAGAGAGAGAGACAGAGCACAAGCAGAAGAGAGGCAGAGAGAGAGGGAGACACAGCATCAAAAGTAGGCTCCAGGCTCTGAGCTGTCAGCACAGAGCTCAACACAGGGCCTGTGAGGAGCTTCTGAGGAGCCTGTGAGATCATGACTTGAGCTAAAGTTGACACCTGAATGACTGAGCCACCCAGGAGCCCCTTCATGTTCCTTTCTAATGCCAATTCCTTTTGTGTTCTAGATCCCAGTACCTCTGCTTACTCATAGAATAACTGCAACAATTCTCCCTCCCTCTTTACATCGTCACCACTCCTTTCTCTTCTAGAACATTCTTGTCAACATAAAACATGCTATCTCTTAAAAAAAAAAAATCCTCCTTTCAAACATACATCCTCTTTCCGATGCTGTCCTATTTCTCTGCCTCTCATTTCCAGGGAAACTTGTTGGAAAAGTTGTTCTCTGCTCTGTTTCAATTTCAAAATAAACCCAAACAAAGTAAGACAAACAAACAAACAAACACTAAGAGTTGAAATTAGTATGATAAAAAACAAACAGAAAAAATTCATAAAACAATGACCAGTACATAATAGGCATTTAATAAGCATTTGTAAACTGAACGTTAAACAATTCAGTGCACAGTATACTTTTATAGAGAATGTTACCTGTTCTTCCTTTAGTTGAAGATGAGTTTTTTAAGTCTCCACTGATAGTGGTGACTGTAGCTATGTATTTTCGTCCAGGCACCAGGTCAGTAAAAGTGAATTCTTTGGCATCTTTGGGGAGTGACTTGTGGATGAGTAAGAGGTCTCTGTCAGCTAGTGAAATGATGTATTTCTCCCATTCTGCTACAGGGGTCTGCCACATGACACCCAGTGAGGTTTCGTTGGCATGTTTGACACGAAGCTGGAGCACAGCCAGGGGCACTGAGGAAAAGGCAATGGACGCTGTGTCACTGATTTGATTCAGAAACATGAGGGGGGGGCGGTGCCTGGTGGCTCATTCAGTTGAGTGCTGGACTTTGGCTCAGACCATGATCTCACGGTTTGTGGGTTTGTGTCAGGCTTTGCACTGTGAGCCTTCTTTGGATTCTTTGTCTTTCACTCTCTCTTGACACTTCCCTGGCTAACACGGTCTCTCTCTCTCTCTCTCTCTCTCTGTCTCTCAAAATTAAACATTAAAAAAAAGAAGAAAAAAGAAACACTAGAATATTTTCTAGAGAACTGTTCCCTTCCAGTTATAGGAGGGTTCAGTTCAGCGTTCCTTTTCTGAATGTGTATGAGCGCTCAGGAAAAAAAAAAAGCTAATCATAAAAACTTTGTTGCTGTTATTTTTTTATGATTTTATTTTTAAGTAATCTCTACACCCAATGTGGGGATTGAACTCACAACCCTGAGATCAAAAATCGCATCTTCTTCCATTGAGCCAGCCAGAGACCCCAAGCTTTGTTTATGTAACATATTCAGAAAGGAAGATTCAAAAGGATACTATTGGAAAATGCTTTTCTGGGTCATTTATTTTTGACCACATATTACCTTGAGTATTTATTTCTTCATATGAATTCTATGATGCAAAAATATTTCATTCAATCTTGTCAACCTACAGAGATAGGTCCATGTTTGAGTATTTAGGTGAAGTTAGGGGTATTTTTCACTCCATTTGGTTGGAAAGACAAAGTGTTTCTTCCCTTCATTTCTGAGAAGGGGACACTGATGTATCCATGAAAGCAAGAGCAATAATACTACCTGATTAAGGGCTCCCATTATCCAAAGAATCGAAATTGTTTCTATTTCTTTAAAAGGTTTAATTATTACAATTTCTAGGATATGTTGTTAAGAGTAAAGTACTGGTCCCACTAAAACAACAGGGAAACAAAATTATGGAAGAAGCATACTGATTTTTACATCAAAGAAATTTTCTATAATTCCATTCTAATTGAGTCCCTAAATCTGTATCTTCCTTCTTTAATACATTGAAATGAACTGGATTGTTCCATCAAAGCCTACTTTGACTTACCTCATTCACCTAGAGGTACAGCGTAAGAAAATTTTCCTGATAATTATGACAATATGCTGAGAGCCCCCACTGTTTCCTGACAGTATTCCAAGTTATTTGAGGTGAATGAGGTAAAATATTGGAGAGGACATAGACACTTGTTCTGTGGAATGCTAAAAATAGCTTGGTTTAAGCTTATATAGCTTTAGTCATTATCCAAGGGATATTAATATCTGGAAAATGAATATATTACTGGAAGGCCCAGTTGGCAAGGTAAGGAGGTGTTTTGGTCCTCTTCTTTGACATTCTTCTACGAAGAACATTGAATCAGTGTAGTTATTTACTTGTCATCAGGCAAGACTAAGAAAGGGGATATTTGAATTTCACTCCAAGTATAGAATATTGCATGTCATACTTGTTGAGCTTGGAAGGGCAATTCTCTTATTTGAAAGTTGAAGAAACACACTCAGAGGGGTTGTGACTTGCCCAAGGTATCACAGTATAGTGGTGACAGCCAGAATAACAAAACCCATGTCTCCAGATCTTCATTCCCCTCTACCCTAAAATCCAAATATATCCCTCTTCACATTAATAACCTTTCCTTGATACATGAAATTAGTCAACATTAGGTCATGACAAATTAGGTCAAGCAAAAAATTTTTCAACTGTCCTTTTTGTGGGAAGGATTCTCAGATTATTTAGTTCCTATTCTTTTGGTGTTTAAAATGGCTTTCTTCTTATTAAATAAAGCAAGTGATTTTTATTTATTTTTTTCAAAAACATTTTTATAGTTCATTTTTATTTTTGAGACAGAGAGAGACAGAGCATGAGTGGGGGAGGGGCATAGAGAAAGGGAGACACAGAATCTGAAACAGGCTCCAGGGTCTGAGCTGCCAGCACAGAACCTCATATGGGGCTGGAACCCACGAACTGGGAAATCATGACCTGAGTCAGACGCTTAACCGACTGAGCCACCCAGGTGCCCCTGGAAGCGATTTTTAATGTTCTAATTTGACAAAACTAAACATTACCAAACCTAATTCAGTCTTTACAAAGTCTATAATATCTTAAATTCAGGGAACATGGGGGATGGGGGGGAGTGGGAAGGAGGGACAACATTGACAACTATCTGTGTTACTTGAGAGAGGGGCCAAGTTAAGGTTCCAACAGTCATTAACACCTTGGTATTTGCTTACCTGTCCTGCCATGGCAACGCTTAGAATTCTTCAGATTTCCACTCTCAACAGTGACTTCTACCTCATACTGTCTTCCTGGTATGAGCCCGACATCATCTATGACATAGCGTGTTTCCTCCTTTCCCACAGTGACGTTGAGCAGCACCACAGAATCATTGAAGAGCAGGATACGGTACTGCTCCCAGTCTCCAGCAGGGGGCGACCAGCTCACTACTAGGGACCTTGTGGAACCATTGCTGTTTGCCACCAGGTTCCCAACTTGCTCTGGAACTAAAAGGTGAAATGATGTCAAAAAAGAGATTCTAAAAACCAAAAGTAAGGATACTTATTCACTTTTCATGGGCAACAGTAGATAAGAGACCTAATAACACAATTCAAACATTTCTATCCCCTTCTAATGTTTGTGGATTGTAAACGAGTGTTCTTTCCTCATTTTGGAGGCATCTGACACTCAAGAAATGAACGCTAAAATCATCTTAGTAATATATCAGTAATGCAATCTTCTGTAACACTGTTAATTACCTAGGGATATGAGCACTGTGTTTTATTGGCTGCACGCCAGCCCTAGAGACAATATCGATGTTGCTTCTGATGATGTTGACATTGATGGATATGGTTGGTGTCTTTTGGTAGCGACACTGCATGTTGCGGTCATGAAACATTCCTCTCTTTTCCAACGACAAGATTAATCTTCTTGCAATATAGCTCTGGTCTAATTATTCATTTGCTTAAAAACATTCAAGGTCTCTCCATTAATTACAGAATAAAACATTAAGTCCTGCGTGTGGCATTCATTGCTTTCCAAGATCAGACCGCATAACCTCTGACCACTCCCTGCAGCTGCCCTCTCCCGTTTCCCCACTTTCCCAAATGCTGGCCTCGAACTTCATGTTCTGCACACCTGTAAGTATCTTGGGCTCTTCTGCCTTCCTACCTTTGCTTGTATTATTTCTTCATCCTCAAATCCCTTCCCTCTTTTCCCTCTTCCCATTAAAAAAAATTTTTTTAATGTTTTATTTATTTCTGAGAGAGAGAGAGAGACAGAGACAGAGACAGAGACAGCATGAGCAGGGGAGGTTCAGAGAGAGAAGGAGATACAGAATTTGAAGCAGGCTCCAAGCTCTGAGCTGTCAGCACAGAGCCCGACGTGGGGCTGGAACCCACGAACCGTGAGATCATGACCTGAGCCAAAGTCGGTCGCTCAACCGACTGAGCCACACAGGCACCCCTCCCTCTTCCCATTTTTTAAGTCCCATCTAAAGACTATTTCCTTTGAGAAGTCTTTACTGCTCTTCTGAACAAGAATTTTGTTCTCTTGTTCTTCTGACCAGATGGCTCTTGGTTGGAATCTTTAACAGCTCAGAGAATGGACTCTCATATTAAACACTCTGGTTTAAATTCTAACCCCACCATTTACTGGCTAGATGACTATGGACAAGTTATTTCATCCCTCTGAATTATCTGTAAAGTGATAATAATGGAACCTCTTTCATGGTTTTGTTGTGGGAACTTAATGTTTAGTGTAAAGTGTTTAGTTAGTGCCTGATACATGGAAATATCAATGCAATTACTGTTATTAAAATGTACTATTTTTACTTTTTGTGTATTTATTCTATATTTGTCTGATTAAAATGTAACCTCCTTAAAAGCAAGGGTTGAAAAAGTAAATATTTCAGGACTTGCAGGCCACATATGGTTTGTCCCATCTTTGTCTCTCTTTTTCCTTTTTAAAAAAACCTTTTAAATATGTAAAAACCACTCTTAGCTTGGGACTATGCAAGTACAGGTCACAGGCCGTATTTGGCCAAAGGGTGTAGTTGGCTGAACCCTGACATTTTAACAACTTCCGAAACTCATCACACAATAATTTACACATAGGGGGCACTGAATAAATGTTTGGTCACATAAATTAATAAAATAATTTAAGGAAAACATGAGTAAATGCTAACTGGCCCTCACTGTTAGAGTTGATCAGAAATGTTTTATTCATTAGTATCAATGCTAATGCATTTACACTACTTAAGTGGGGTGACATGAAATAGCACAGGGCAGAGCCGGTTACCCACATCACTCAGGAACCATTCCAAACACATTTGCTTAAATAACTCTGCATATGGGGCTCTGGCCCATAGGCACCCTCAGTCATGTAGATCATATTTCCCAAATTGGGAGCTTATTGTGCCCCGATGAATGGATCTAAGACAGATCAGACAATGATTTGGAAAACATCATTCCAAATGGTGTTATTCTGGAATATTCTGGAGCCCTACACTCACCTGTTCTGCCCACTGCCATCTTCTGAGCAGACAATTCACCAGAGACACAGCTGACAGTAACTTGATAAAGTCGTCCAGGAGTTAAGTCTTTGAATTGAGTTTCAGTAACCTGGGGTCTGAGTATTCTGGATTCTTTGATAATCCCTTTGTGAAACAGGGTAATGTTATAGGAATCCACATTTCCAGAAGGTCTTTGCCACTTGACCTTTAGAGAGGTCAAAGTGTCATCATTTGTCACCTTCAGATTTGAGACTTCCATGGGTGCTAAAAAGGAAGAAAAGAGAAGACACTTTAACTCAGGATATTGTACCAGTCTTCTGGTCAAATTTTGACCTGTCTTTTAATCCCTGACAGCCTCACTCCCTGCTCAGAAGAAAACAATTTCGCTAGCAAAAATAATACTGCAAAATCAAAGAAAGGCTGTCTGGCTGTTCGAAAGATCATGAAGATGGGAGTCAGGAGCCTGGATTCTGGCTCAACCTTGGTCATTAGTCAGCTGGGCAACCCTGGACAGCTCTGTGTATCTCACTGAGCCTCAGGATCCTTACAGGCAAATGAGGTCCTGGAATGCTCAAAGAAGTCTGACATCTGCCTAATTTATTCCCATATTAATGTATTTAATAACAACAAGTACACAATCAAAAGATTGGTTAACTCATTGCCCATCCCAAAATTTTGTGTGCTAAAAATATGCTATCTTTCATATGAACTCATGATGAAGTGAAAGCTCAAGAGTTGTGTCATTGTTTCATCAAAGGAAAATGATTACAATTACAAAAGCAAAAACACTTTGGTGAGTACTTTGAGTACTTTTTCTACCTCTTGGGTACGTCATAATTTTGGGCTTCACTAATAACAAAGCAAAAAGGTTTCAGTTTTAAAATGGGCATAGCAGAGTGATTTTGCATAGGCCAGTGATAAGTATAATTTGTTCTTGTTATACATGAATAATTCTTAAGATAATTGCTACTTTTTAAAAAAGATTTCATTTAAAAAATATTTTTAACGCTTATTTATTTTGAGAGAAAGAGATAGAAAGCAAGCAGGGGAGGGGCAAAGAAAGGGAGACAGAGAATCCCAAGCAGGCTGTGCTCCTTGGGCACAGAGCTTGATGCAGGTCATGAACTCATGAACCATGAGATCATGACCTGAGCCAAAATCAAGAGACAGATGCTTAACCAACTGAGCCACCTAGGAGCACCTAAAGATTTTATTTTTAAGCAATCTCTGCATCCAATGTGAGGTTCACACTCACAACCCTGAGATCAAGAGTGCATGCTCCACCAACTGAGCCAGCCAAGGGCCCCAAGATATATGGCACATTTTTGTTGGGAATGTTTATACATCTTTTGAGGTGTGATATGAAGGGTATGGAAATGTACAGGTGCCCTCAAATATCTTTCTCACCAATCTTTTGTAGTTCCAAGAACTCTCTCCATGAGAGTAATTTCTAAGTCACTATATACTTAAAAGTTTCTCTTAAAATTAAATAGTTTACCGAGAGAGGGAACAGCTTACCAAGAGAAGGAATTTATTAGACCCACCAGAAACATTAGAATCCATTATAATGTAAGCTCCAAAGGGCAAAGACTTTGGCCTTTTTAGACACTGCTATATCCATAATGCCTAGCATACAGTTTATACTCGGTAGATAGTGAATGAATGAATTAATAGAATGAAATAATGAATGTGTACATGATTCATTAAGACTTAGCACAGATTAGGGCACCTGGGTGGCTCAGTTGGTTGAGAGTCTGACTTCAACTCAGGTCATGGTCTCACAGTTTGTGAGTTTGAGCCCCACGTCAGGCTCTGTGTTAACAGCTCGGAGCCTGCTGTGAATTCTGTGTCTTCCTCTCTCTCTGCCCTTCCCTGCTCTCATTCTGTCTCTGTCTCTCTCAAAAATAAATAAAACATTAAAAAACCCACTTAGCACAGGTTAGTTTAATTGGCTATGTTAAGCTGTGAGAACAGCTCCTGTAGTATTAGGTCTCAAGATATGTTTTATTGGATACAGAGTTTACGAATGGCTGTTTCACAGGAGCAGGTCTTTGTATAGCACTGAGAAAAGCAATCTTGGCTCATTGTGAGTGGCGTCACAAAGGCAGTGGATGCTAGTTTCAGAGAAGGAAGTAGGAATCCTTACCAAAAAAAAAAAAAAAAATTCAGAATACTAAAAAGACAAGCGAAGACTATATCCGTGGTTAACTTTGCTACTTCAGAATGCTGCCAAGGAGTCATCTAAATTTTAGAAAAAAAAGGGAATCCCTCTTTCTCTGAGTAGAAAAATGGGTACATCTTAAGGGCCTTCTGTAACATATGAATTTCCATTTGTCCCATACTATTCAAATAACTTTATAAGCCTTGGTTATTAAACATTTCCTTGATTTGAGCTTTATTCTTGTTCCGCTAGTTGGTGGAACTTACTTGTCCTGGACAGTGTCCATCTGTAGTTTTGCAGCCCTGCAGCCTCAGTCACAATGGTGAGGTTATAGAGGTGGCCAGGTGTCAGTCCTTGGAAAGTGTAAGAAGTAGCATGTCTGTCCACGACACTGCCATGTACTCGGATCTCTTTATCCATGAGCATCAGCTGGTATCTTTCCACATTCCCAGAGCCATGGGACCAGGAAATCAAGAGAGAATTGGTTTTTGCTGAAATATTGATGTCTTTCACTGGGGATGGCACTGGGGACATAAAATGCGTTGCCAAAGGGTCATTCATAATTTCCTTATAGGTGCCATAGACACATTTAATTCGAAATCACACATTTATGAATGCTTCTCTGTACATCTAATTTGTGCTATAAGTAATGAGAATAGTACTCTTGAAATTTCACTGGAGCCTGGATTAATGCTCTTTTCAAAGTCCACACTAGAGCTACATCATAGTTTACCCACTTAATAGGTATGAAAGTAATTTTTGCCAATGAAGCATGATATGGCATAGCAGCAAAGAGAAAAGAAAGGGAAGAACAATGGAAGATGAAAAACAGAAGGACAGCAAGAAAGCAGGAGAGAAAAGGAGAGGAGAAGGCATGATGAGAAGGACGGTAGTTCACAGAAGGAGGTGGAGTGGGTCGTTGACATCGGGATGCGTGGGGCACGCAAACACTTGTTCCAGGCGTAGAAGTACGTAGGAAACATCATGACTTGATGTTATGAAAAGAATATACAAAGGATGAAAACACTTAAAAATCACGTTTTATTACAAACTGAGAAACCGAGGCAGAAAATGCTGTGGCCTGAGATTTGAGTTAGAAAGGTCACTTGGAAACACCTACTTAGTTTTGGAGAAAATTCCAGTCCCAGAGAAGTTCCAGGACTTGTTCAAAATCAACCAGCGATCTAGCAGCACAGCCACATCTCCTTATTTTCAGTCTAGTCTACCCAACGTACTGCACAGCATTTATCTGTCTGTCTATCTACTTATCTACCTACCTATCTACCTGTCACCTTTGGTCTGGGGGCATTCTTACTTTTATCCCTTCAATTTACTGTATTAAATACTCAGCTAGCTGTAAACGGGTCTTACCTGTTGATCCATTGGTATAAACTGTAAGGGAACGTTTCTCTCCAGAAACAGCTGTGATGGCAATATTGTATTTATTACCAGCAGTGAGGTTAAAA